TCCTGGATGTAAAGATGAAGCCCCTGCATCTCCCTCACACCTGTTTCTCTCTCTCTGCAGTATGCAGAGGGCTGGCAGGAACAAGTGCCATCCAGTGCTCCCCACCTCCTCCTACCCATTTAAAGCACAGCCCCACTTTGGGTCCCATTCCCTTAAAAGACATGGTGTTTCTAGGTCTACCTGCCTGGCAATGTCCTTAAACATGGACTTGTGGTAACAGCTCTGCCATTCTTTTGGATGCAATAATGATCAATAGTTAAATACTTCAGATGCATTATAAACAATGCTGGGGAAAAAAAGGAAGAGTTGACCATTTGTTCAGTGTCTGTGAAGAGCCAGGAATGTTAGACATTTTGTCTAATTGAATTCTCACACAAATAACTTAAAAAAATATTTCTTCATTGTCTACACATAGCAAGACAGTATAGGGTCACATCTAAAGCCAGACCTCCTCAGCTTGGATCTAGGCTGTGCGATTCTGGGCAAGTTACTTAACATCTTTATGCCTCAGTGTACTGCAGAGCAAAATAAGAATAACAATACCTACCTCATGGGATTTTAGTGAGGATTAACAAATGTGAAATATTCGAAACAGTGCCTGGCTGCCTGTGTTTGCTATTATTATTACTATCTGCAATGGGTGTACTTTATGGGGCAGTACTATTGTTCCCATTTTACAAATAAGGATCGAGAGGCTTAGTGGAATTATATAACTTGCCAGGGACACACAGCTTGTGCGGGGCAGGAGCAGATTTGGAAGATGGGTATATACAGCTCCTAAGAGTTTTCCAGGGTACACCAAAGCCAGAACACATTTCTTCTACTGAGTTTGTCACTCAAAGAGATTACAGACATGCACATATACAGGGCTACACAGTTATTTAATCAATAAATATCATTGAAAATACTTGGTCTGCCAACTAATAAACCATGTGAAATGCGGGATGGTTTAGGAAGATGGCTGGAATGGCCAGGAAAGGTGGGTCAAGCCTCCTTTGGGTTCCTGGAGGTAAGGAAAGGTTCCCAGGAGAAAAAGGATTCATCACAGGAAAGAGTGATGGGAGGGGGGTGGAGGGCAAAAAAAGGGGGGGATTTCAATGGAAGCAAGAAGCTGGTTATCCAGGATGAAGAAGGGAAAGGGATGGCCAGGGTTGGGGTTTCAGGAGATTGATTACACATTTGGATGATAGGGCAGAGATGGGAACCTGGGGAAAGCAAGCCAAAGGGATGGGAACTGCAAGAGCAGGCCGTGGGGATTCTGGGGGTAGAGCAAGCAGGGGGCCTTAGACGCTTTGGAATGCCAACTTCCTTTCACACTTTTCCTTTCAGCTGCAAAGTAAACTAAGGGCCTCAGAAGGATTAACTAAAAACTGGAGGAAAGGGCTAGTGTCTGCCAGTCCTATTCCTGGGAGAAAGCACTGAGCAGTGTGGGCAACTGGGCAGCACACAGTCCTGGGGTGCACAAAGTCTGACCTGTCGCCCCTTCTACTCCTCTCTCACGCTAAAGAGAGCCAGCAAGGTAGAGGACAAGACAACTGTCCGATTAACTTACATTTCTAGGCTGCATCTATCTATACAATGGGGGGTGGTGCTGAATTTTCCAGAAAATAATTTCAACTCTCCACTTTTGCTGGCTTGCCCCCATGAATGTGTGGAAAGCCTTTGATTCAAAGTCTGAAGTTTTTTCTGAACAGGTTACCCTTGGCCCTCTCAGCCCTAGGTACCAGACTCTAAGGAAATCCTGGAGTCGAAGGAGGGGAGAATGATTCGCCCTGGAGGAATAAAAACCAGCATAAGTGCCCACTGAAGGAAAGGCTCCTGTACAAAAATTCAAAAGTAAATTACGGAAGTATTCTCATTACATACAGCACATTGTTTGCTTTAGCATTTAACTTTTTTATTTTTAACAGCAAGTTAATTATAAAAACAAAGATGGCCTAATAAATTAAATTCTACACAAATTCATTATAAACACATCTTTGGAGTTAAGTGAGGTTCATCTGTTATTTTCCCCCCTTAGTAGTGGAATACAGTGGCTTAACAATTCTTATCACTAAATCAAATTCAGCCCTTGGCATGCTTGGAAGACTCAGCTACTGACCAAGAAAAAGGTCACCTCTGCTCTCGGGGGCACAAACTCTGTTTCCAGAAAGGAGAGGGAGAAGAGGGCAAGCGAGGACCTCCAGTATCTGTGAGGGCTATCAGGACGTCCTGCTAATAAACGACTTTTTCACTGTCCACACTATAATTGGTTTACAGCCTTTTTTGTTTATTTATCCATAAGAGCTGCTGTTAAATGGCTCGGGAAGGCGCTCGCCTAATGGCTCGGTATCGCTCCTGGGCCTGTGGGAGGCGAGAGGGGAGAAGGCGTCAGCAGGGATTCAGAGCGGAAACGCATTTCACCTGTAATGGACTTGGCGATTTTATGATACCACGAGCTATATCCACAGAAGAAATACAATACACGCTCTTGCTCAGTGCAAGGTTGTGCGGGTGCGTTTTCTATATGGGTATACGTTATAATTAGCCAATCCAAAAACCCTGTTGGTTTTGTCCCACCATAATCAATGGCTGTTTGACTTGTTTCCTGGGTCTCTTGTTTAGGTAGTGAGCCACAGAAAATGCTAATTGTGAAAGTGAGAATGCACCTCCATGGAACACTTTCAGCACCCCTGCCCCTTCCCCCACGTTTCTGTTCAGCCCCGGGCTCCCGGTTTTTTGCCAGAGAGCGGGATAGGCGGATTTGCTTTCTGCTGAGCGCCTCTTTTCTTTCTGCAGGGTCGAGCAAAAATTTTAAATGCGAGCAAATGAAGCATCGAAATGGAGACCAATTTACAGAAATGTGCAATTAGATGAGAAGTGCAAAATAAACACTCTGGGTCGGGGGTGGCGGGCGAGGAGGGGAGCGGGGGAGGAGAAGGGGGGGGTCTACGGACTGAGTCCGGAGTTGCCAAGGGGGGAGGGGAGAAAGAGAAGAGTTGGGGGGAGGAAGGTGGCCGATCTTTGTCCCAAGCGGAGCTCGCTCGCTGCCCGCTCATAACCGCGTCGCCAAGTCAACCCGCGGCGACTTGGCAGATTATCTCCGAGGGTCAACACGCCGCGGCCGGGCAACCCCCCTCCCGCCCTGCCTGCTGATCGATGCGGTCACTCGCGGCCCGGTGATAGCGTCTGGTCCTCCGCAGCCGCCGCCAACAATGGATTCATTGACGCGGACGCGGACGCGGACGCGCAGAGATTAGGGGTGCGGGTCCCGCCGCCTTTTCCTCCCCGGCCCCTAGGACCGCAGGTGGCCCTTTTCCCTGAAGAAATCGCCGGAACTCCCCCCACCTAACCGGCTTGCTTCAGTCCCGAGCGCGGGCACCAAAAAGGCCGGGACCTGTGCGCGTCGCCACCCAGGCGCCGGCCACTTGGTGCTCCGCACTCTTCTAAACGCAAATGCTGAGACGGCACCTGCATCACACAAGGCAAGGAATCTGCAGGGAAGTCCAAATTCCCAACTGGCTTTTGCTTTTTAATGAAAGAGTATTTCAGAGTAGCGCACTCAAACCGTATGCATTTAAAACACATATTTACACAAGGAGAAAATACATTAAAATCTTCCTCGTCAAGGGCTGGATGTAATCTGTTTAGGAAAGTCAGATCGCAGTGATTTCCCCTTAGTGGTTCTTTGCGGTTCACGTTCCCTCTTAACAAGGCTTTTCAGCAAACGTGTCCAGTTTTTCTAAAACCCTACATGTTGGTTCGAGGAATGTGGTTCTTTTGGCAGGACCTGGTCCAAGGCCACCCAGAACGCCCTGGGCAAACGGGGCGGCTGCGTTGGTCATGCCCAGGCCACGGCTTGGGTGCCACCGCGACCCGGAGAGAGTCTGTCCGCATCGTCCGGTGGGAAAAAAAATCATCTCTATTTAAGTGAGAACCCCAGAATACCCAGAAGTTACGGAACCGGTGGAAGCCCCAGACTGACGCTGTCATAAAAACGCAGCGCTTTTAGTTGTTTAAACATTTCCCTCCTCTCTCGGACTTGCCTTATTTCAGTCGGACCCTGGAGTACGCGTTCTCCAGCTGACAGATTCCGGCTGTGTGTCAGGATCGTGGAAAAGCCATTACAGATCTGGAAACCCCATGCCAACCCCGTCCCCTCCTCCCAGCCACAAGAGGTGACGCTACTTCTCCCCCCCCCGCCCCGCCACATTAGGAAACTGCACTGAGTTGGTCAAATGAACCCCAGTTTCCCAAAATCAAAATTAATAATGCCCTTCAGTTTAAAAAAATCAAAAGCCACTGTGAACGATTCTGAAGTTACAGTTTACACTCCAGAAGTCCCCGGAGCAGGGCCACATATTAAAAAACCTACAACGAATGCTGAATCTTTATGTAGTTAATACACTGACATCATCGTGCTTGTGCACAAACTTCATAAATAAAATAGGACCAACTGCTTCTGACCTATAGAGCTCGGTCCGGTAAACTTTTCTGACCGTGTTCCCTAACAGTTAAAAAAAAATCTTAAATCCCCAACCTCGGCATAAGTATATTTATGTTATATTAATTAACTAATGTATTATGCACATTATCAAAAAAACAAGAAAATAGATCACTCAAAGTATGATGAAAATATATTCCTATAATTGAATGTAAATCTTAATATTTTCATGAGTGCTCCACTTTCCACAGCACGGCCAGCTGCGCATACAGGTGTGTGCGGTAAACTCAGCTGAGAGAGAAAATTGAAACAAATGCAGGTGCTCTTGGGTACCTGGGCCTTGCTTCTTAAGGCAGTCGGCCAGGCCAATAATGGCCCCAGGCTGAGCCACGTGGGGCACAGCGGAGCCTATGGCGCGGCGGCCGGCCAGACAGTCCCCGCCGGTGGCGGGTTCCCTGGGCGAGCAGAGCCGAGCTGTCAAAGCGAGCAAGGGTGGCGCCGGGAGTGGGAGAGCTGCACAGGTCCAACTCCCCGGCTCCAGCTCCCTACTCCTGGCGTACAAGCCCCGGCGGCAGCCATGAACAGCGAGGAGCAGTACTACGCAACTACGCAACTTTACAAAGACCCATGCGCGTTCCAGCGGGGCCCCGCGCCAGAGTTCAGCGCCAGTCCCCCTGCGTGCCTGTACATGGGCCGCCAGGCCCCGCCGCCGCCTCCCCCGTTCCCGGGGACCCTGGGCGCTCTGGAGCAGGGCAGCCCCCCGGACATCTCCCCGTACGAGGTGCCTCCCCTCACCGACGACTCCGCGGTGGCGCACCTGCACCACCACCTCCCAGCTCAGCTCGCGCTCCCCCACCCGCCGGCCGGGCCCTTCCCGGATGGAGCTGAGCCAGGAGCCCTGGAGGAGCCCAGCCGCGTCCAGCTGCCTTTCCCGTGGATGAAGTCCACCAAGGCTCACGCGTGGAAAGGCCAGTGGGCAGGTAAGCCTGGCTCCCCACCCCTTTTGTCCTCACCCGCTCTCGTACCGGCTGCCCCTACCCCCAAACGCTCCCCAGGACCCTCTACCGGTTCGCGTTCCCAGCCCCTATGGACAACCCAGGGTCGGACTAAACTACATAGGGAGCCAACTAGGCCATCCTGCACAGAATTGCCTTTCTGGTCCCACTTGGAACGTCTTCTCCACTCAGCTCTCCTCCTGGGAGCTTAAACCCCTCCTTCCCTGTACACTGAACTCCAGCAGCCTGCGCACCCGCAGAGAGCTAAGGCATGGCCGAGCTCCAGGCTTCAGACCCTCCGGATCCTCCTCCACTGGAGGATCAGCCTGGCCCGGAATCCAAGGAGTGAGCGTCAAGGAAGCCGAGCAGGGCTCTGGGATGCTCCCAACACGGCCGGGGCACGCCTGGAGAGTCCCGGGCCCCCTCTGGCCCTGGGCCCATCCGGGAGGCTTCATTAGAGGAGTGCAGGCAGTCTTGGAGGTACTCAGTGGATGCAGAAAAGCAGGGAAGACAAACTGCACCCAAGTTTGCAAAGGCGTTCGGCGCGACCCGGGGTTGGGAGGTTGGGGTGCTGGGGGTACTCACCGCAAGACCGAGACCTGGCTGCTCAGCCTGAGCGACAGCAGCTGGGAGAGGCGTCTGCGATGCTAGTTCAGTTTTGAACACACAGAAACGTTCCAAGGGGTCTCCCCGGTGCTGCTTCCCAGCAAGTGAGTTTGAGGAAGGAGATGCTCTCCTTGCACGGCCGTTTCAGGGAGGCGTGAGCACTGGGTCCCCGTGGCCCTAGGCGCCGGCTTGTCACAGAAGGTCGTCCCAGGAACCCGGAGGCTGAGACGCGGAGCGGCCCCCAGGCCCTTTCCCCGCCCCGAGCTGGCCGCGGGTTCTGGCCGCTACACAATGTTATCGCTTCCGTGCCGCGGCCACATGTGGTCACACCTGCATGGCGCGTAGTTGACTTTTATTTTCCTTCCAGTAGTCGGGGGTAGGGGGAAAGAGGCTCGGCTGGCGCCCCCCCCCCACACACACCCCCCAGAGTCCTCGGCGCCCTGTCTGCCCCTGGTGCCTGACACGGACCCCGGGGCAGCCCAGCGAGCTTTGTGGGGTCCGGGCTCGCCCAGGGTCCCCGTGGCTCGCCTCTCCCCCTAGTTCACTTTCTTGCGAAGGCCGAGTGTGAGGACCGAGCGGGTCCGCGTCCGGAGGCAGGACAGGGCCAAACTCAGCCGCAGTCTTCCGCACCTACCGCGCAGCCCAGGGTGAGGGGGGCGCCCGACGCTGCCCCGCGCCTGTGCGTACTTACGCAGTCCGCGCGGCCGCCGCCGGAGGCTGCGGAGTCCTGGGAAATGCGGGATTCTTGGGAGGCGGGAGGGCCAGGTCCCTCCACGCAGGGTGGGGGCTGGGGACGCGCATTTCCGGCATTCCCGGCCCTCCTAGGGAGGCCCCAAGTGGAGAGTTCTGAGGCGGGGTAACTTCCCCACCCCACCCCCAGAGTGTGAGCCCTGCACTGGTGGAGCTTGGGCTCGGGCAGACCTAAGGAGCCAGACAGTAAAATCCAATGAAAAATGGGCGGCCTTGCCCCGGGATGGGGGAACCCTTAAAGGGTAACATCCGCGGGTTGGAGATTCAGGGGAAGAGGCCTTTGCCAGAGCCCTCTACCCGCTACAAGCTCAGCCCAGGGGGAAGGGGCCAATCCCCTTTCCTGGACGCTGCCTGTGGGGTGCTCCTGCGGCCTAGAGGTCCTCCCGGAAAACTCTGGAAGGAACAGAGCTTCAAGGGTCTGTGAACGCGCCTGCCCACTCCTAGTGGGGTTTCAAAGCCCTGAGGAGAGTAACGTGATCAAAGGGCTTTCATTTGTAGTACAGATACTAACAACAATACTATAGGAAATTTTGAAAACATCGACCTAAAAAAATGAACTGCATCAGCCTCACTGGCTGGCGGGCTTGTCCCTAGACCGACCTCACCCTGCGCCTTAGGGAAGGGCGCAGACGTGGGGACTCTTGACATCTTCTCAATAACGCCACCAACAGCCTCCATCCCTGCCAACTTGTCCTGAGCATTGGTCTGCTGGGGAAGTGGACCCTGCCGCAGTGGCTTGCAGCACCTCCGTGACACTGGCGGAAGAGGGCCAGAGCCCCTAGAGATTGTGGATTGAATTTAAGAACCTCGGAGGTCCTTTTTAACGTTCCTTTAAGGCTCCCTTGCTTCTCTTCCATGCCCAGGAAAGCTTAGAAGGGTAAGACTCTGGAGATGCTCCCCAGGGAGCAGGACTCCTCTGCTGACTCTGGCCCAAGCCTCAGCCTTGGGTTCTGGGCACCTCCTTTTGGCCTGGGGGAAAACTCTCCTGCCCAAACACACCCATACTAGCTTTTCCAATTCCCTAAAGCTTCCTAACAGTCACAGGAGAAATATCCCAGACTCTGTCCTAAGACAAGAAGATTTAGGCGTCTTCCTAGAATGTTGGTGGAACTTAATTCCGCTGCTCCATGCAATCGGTATCACGCAGAGAAAGGAAAAGAAGCTCAAGACCTGGAGCACAGCGGCAAACAGCAGGTGTGCAGCGGTAATTTGCTTGGCCAGCGGTTGTTTCCTTGCCACCCGGGCTTGGAGCTGGAATGCCTGGAGCCTTTGACTCCACCACTACCCGGTCTTCCTTAGGGCTCTCCGTTCCCAGTGGGAATCCAACCCCCCGAGGCTCCCCGCTCACCTTTCCAGCATTTGGAGCCTAGGACAGAAAGGCCAGGGCTGACAGGGATATTCCTTGGGGCCCAGAATAGTTTCCCTTCTTCTCCAGGGCAGGGATCCGGCAGAGATTAAAACAATTATAGAGAATTTACCAGCTCTTGAGTCGGGGATGATTACAACAATATAACTGTATAGAGAGATAACACATGGTCAAATATAACAATATATGTCATAAGCTCAGGGTGTTTATTAGCTGAAGGTTTTTCACAATGAGGGTTGCACTTATAAGTTGATTGTGAAATCAGTTAACTGGGCTAAGACCTTTTTTAAAAATGAAATAGTAAATAGTTTACCATTAATATATTTTTATATATTTACTGTATACTATTTACTATATATATTTATTTACTAATATATATTAATAATAGTAAACAATAATTTACTATTAGATAGTATCATATATGGTAAAAGTTGGTTTTATGTCCTGAATTTTTTTTAGTGTTCAATAATTTATCATTTGAGTATGTCCTGAAATTTTTTTGTGTCAGTTCTATGTCCGTGTGTGAACTGGATAGTTATCTGAAATGTATTCTTACTGTGAGTCATCCTTAGAAAGCTGTGATTTTTAAAAAGTCCTATATTAAAGGCATTTGTTGCCTTTGTAGAATCAAGTAGGTTTAGATATCTATTGTGTGTGCATTTTAATCACCATCGACCCAAACACAGGCCAAGTGAACCCACTGAAGAATCACTGGTTGATAGAGCCCACCGCCTGCTCAGAGAGAGAGCCTGAGAGCACGCACTGCTTTGACCTCCAAGAAAACGCAACCTTTACTAGAGAAGGGCTGCAGGAGACCAGACTGAGCTCTGGGATAGGAGGTTGTGCTCGGTGTCAGGAGCACCTGGGGGGACCAGGGCTCCCAGGACTGGGGAGGAAGTGTTGGGCTGCGTGGGTGGGGCAGGAGGAGCCAGGGGTCGAGGGACCACACTCACCTGACCTGTCGCCCACAGGCGGCGCCTATGTTGCAGAGCCAGAAGAAAACAAGCGGACGCGCACTGCCTATACGCGTGCGCAGCTGCTGGAGCTGGAGAAGGAGTTCCTATTCAATAAATACATCTCGAGGCCACGCAGGGTGGAGCTGGCCGTCATGTTGAACTTGACCGAGAGACACATCAAGATCTGGTTCCAAAACCGCCGCATGAAATGGAAAAAGGAGGAGGACAAGAAGCGCAGCTGCGGGCCAGCGGCCGGGGGTGGCACGGATGCTGAACCAGAACAGGACTGTGCAGTGACCTCGGGTGAGGAGTTGCTGGTGCTGCCACCATCGCTGCCCCCCGGTGGTGCTGTGCCGCCCGCTGGCCCCGCCGCCGCCGCCCGAGAAGGACGCCTGCCACCTGGCCTTAGCGCGTCGCCGCAGCCCTCCAGTGTTGCGCCCCTGCGACCGCAGGAACCCCGGTGAGAGATGGGGGCTCCTCCTGGCCAGGCGGCTTCAACCACTGGGAAAGAAGGGGGGAACGGTGTGGTCGGGCCCTGGGTGTGGACAACCAGCCCTGGCCTCTGGCCGTTCGAGGGGTTAGGAACTGCGGAAGCCACCCCAGACGGAAGGGGAGAACTCGAGTTCTCAGACGCCTGTGCCAATTGGGGCACTTTGGGGAGACCCTGACAGACCTGGAAGGGGAAGAGAGGTTTTCTGTAATATCTGGGGCCTCTTCCGGTGGTATTGTTGGATTGGCAACATCTGCGGCTGCTGTGCAGGCAAGCTGGATGGAGTGCCTTAATCTGTCCTGAAACAGAGCCAATTTTACTCAGGCTTCTGCCCTAAAGCTTAGAAATAACTGAAAGGAAACTAAGGTTTCAAAGACCTAGTGAAATTGATGCCCGTGGAATAGAATAATTCCTCCTCCGCTTCCTCCTACCTGTGTCTTCCTCTTCCTTTTTAAAATCCTTTTTAGTACAGCCACGTACTTCACCAGCTCATCTCCTTCAATCTGCATCTCTTTCCTCCAAAGAAGAGGACATCTTGCAAGGTCCTCTTGCAAGCAGGGCTGGGATATAAAGGCAGGGTCAGAGTCCCTGCACCTTCAGTTTGTCCAACACTTGGAGAGAGGGCAGGTGGAGATGAGTCTAGAGCAAGGGATTTGGGGGAGAAAGATGGCCCCCAAGCCATCACCAAACTGAAGCTCTTTGGAGCTTTCTATTTAGGAGGTGGATTTAGTTCCTAGTCTCAGGGCAGGAGAGGCTGTATGGAAGGCAAGCAGCATGGCCTGACCCACCTTGGAAACTATTCACAGAGACAGTATGATTCCCAAATCTTTAGAAATGATGAAAATGTACGTGGCTGGGGAGTTTGAAAACTGGTTATTTTATTTAAAGTTTAAAAATTGCTTAACAGTTCTTTACAACCAGGTCTGTAGTTTCCACGTCAGTTGTTTGTTTCAGGGTCCGGGACTTGTGTTCAGGTGGTGTTTGTGGAAAACAATTAATAAATATGGATAACATGGAGAAGAGATGCAAACTGATTTCCCTTGCTTTGTATCAGATTTTCTTGCCATGCAATGATTCCGTTTCATTTAAAAAAAAATTAAAGCAGCATTTATTTGTTTGGTACTAACAAGGGAAGAGGGGCCAATGAAGAAATATCACATTTGGGTTTGAGGTTGGGGCAGCATATGAGCTGGTGGATTTTAGGTTTTGTTTTGTTCTCATTTTTAACTTGACTCACTGCTGAAGATGAATTTTTCAGAGCGAAGGAAGCATAGGGGTTCTAAGTGCCACTGGCTAGTGCCAAATGGCACAGAGCCAAGAGCAGCCCATCCTGCACCATGCTTTGGCCAGGAAAATGCACCAGCTGGCCAAGGCCTTGGCCAGGTCTTCTCATTCCTCCCAAAGCAGGGGTCTGGGGCAAAGCCTTTCTCAGTGGTTCTTCTGAAAGAAGTGTTGCTTTGGATGGGTCCACCCCTGGAGCCCCAAGGTCAACAGTGTCTTGTATTAGGGACAAACAGGCCCTAATTTAGTGGGCTTCTGAGCTCTGGAGCCACCTGCTCCCGCTCTGCTGCACTGCACCCAGAAAGGCACCACCTGAGCGCTCCCACCCTTTCAGGCCATTGGCTCACTCCCAGGGGTCATTGCTGTTTTCTTTGCAAAGAGACAGCAGGGCTTGTTTTTGTTTTGTTGTTGTTTTTGCTTTTGTTCTGTTGTTTTTGTTTTTTGAGAGAAAGAAAGTGAGTCATAATGCCCCTCCAAAGTAAGAGAGGTTCCGTCGCTCAGAAAGGGGAACTTTCTCATCGGAGACAATGACCTTGCCCTGCAGCTTCGCCACACATGCCTGGGCACCGGAGTCTAGCAAATCTGCCTTCACACCCGCGTCCCTCAAACACTACCGGGTGACCTAGATAAAATTATTCAACTTCTCTGTGCCTCAGCTTCCCTGTCTCTAAAGTGAGAGTAAATACTACTTCTCAGAGTTGTGAGAGTTAAACAAAAGAAAGCCTGTAAAGTGTTTAATTCACTCTCTAGAAATAGTCATCCTTCCACATTGTTTTATAACCATCATTCCTTTTGAAAGCAAGCGGGTGGGGGCTGCTGCAGAGATTCACTGCGTCCCCTGCCAGCCCTAAAACCCCTCTCCTTTGACAAATCCCCACGCTGTCGCTGTCAGTGTGACTTGTTCATATAACCAGTGATCCTTAACACTTCCCAGTTTTATGACTCCCTTCCTCATAAATAAACTCTTTTGATTTCCCACAGAAACCTTCACCAGGTAAGTGAAACTTCCCTGCTCTTACACAAGGGAAGCTGATACTGGGTGGGGAGGACTGGCTGAAGTTCAGCCACCCAATTAGTGGAGACGCGGAGACTTGCCCTCGGAAGCCAAGGAGGGTTCTAGGGCTCCAGAGCAAACCAGCCTCCCTCTCCGAGGCTCCCATCCCAATCTCGCGCGCTGCCCCGACTGCACCGTGGCCTCTCTGCGCGGGCTGGAGAGTTCGCCAACCCAAAGTAAAGAGGTGTGAGCCACCTGGGGCGGGCTTGGGCGGCCGAGGGCGCAGGTGCTGGCGCAGGTGTTGACTCTGGGCCAGGCGTGCGGTCTCCAACTGCCCAACACCGGGCGCGGGATCTTTAAGCTTTGCTGAAAGCGCAGTTTCTGGGCTCACCGCGGCTCGGAGACCCGCCGCCAGAGCGGTGTCTCCCACGGAGAAGAGCTCCGGCTTTCAAGTCCCCGCGCTCCCGGCATGAAAATCAGAAAATTCAGCGTAGTCGTGAGCTAATCATTTAATTCTCTGTTTCCTCTTCCATAAAATGGGATGATGTCTTTGAAGTGTTTATTACGGAGCCTAGCGCCTCGTTGCCAGTACACGCGGTGAGGGTGAGGATGGTGGCAGAGGCAGAGGTGAGGTGATGTTACCAGTAAAGGCCAGCCTTCCAGGGAGGCCCAAGGAGGCAGCACAGAGCGCAGCGCAGCTAGCCAGATGGGCCTGGAAGAGAGGAAGAAAGAGGGGCGAGCTCCCGAGTCGGGAGAGCCACTTGGTGCTGGACCCCTCTTGGCCAAAGGGGCTAGGTCAGACCCCATAGGGCGACCCGCGTGGGACTCGACGCGTGAATCTCCAACTCTGCGTGGCCACCCTCGCCAAATGCAGGCGAATGGTGGGCCCAAGTGGCGGGGGCACTTGGAGCCCCAAGCCCAAACCCGCGCACAGAGCCTAGTCTCCGGAGTGAGGAGGCCGGTAAAGATGAGATCTCCCAGGAGCCCAGAAACAAAACAAAACAAAACAGCCGGTGGAGCCTTGAGAAGGGCCTCTTTCTGCCAATCAAGGGATCTCGAGGTCCCAGAACTCCTCAGGTGACCCTGCTACCTGCCTCTCGGGTACGGTTGTCAACCTCCCTCTGCTCTTCTGGCTGGGCATGCACCTCTCCGGGAAGAAACAGACACCGGTAGCCTTCGAAAACTCTCTCGGGGCAACGGTTCTCGGCGGGGAAGATGATTAGGGCTCCGGAAACGCGGTACGCAGTTCCCCGCGCAAATCCTCGTGCGTCAGGCGAGTGCGCTCCAAGACCACCGGACTGGGGGGCTCTGTTCACCGCGCAGACAAGCCCAGGAGCGCCCGCCCGCACCTCCACGCGGGTCCAACCCGGATGATCATCCAAGCTGGAGCCACAAGCCCTGCCATGCCCCGCGCCTTCCGGAATCTACGACCCGAGGTTGGCGGAGCGCCGCTGGGCGCTGGTGAAGCCGACAGGAGCGCTCCCTGCCCGCGCACCTACTGCAGCACGGTCCCCCAGCTCTTGTCAAAAGTGCGGGTCGGGATTCGGAAAATTCGGCACAGAGCTCCTCCCCCCCCCCACCCTAAACCACCGAGAGAGTGGGAGCTGGGGTGGAGAACCCAGGAAAGCACACCGCTGTGCAAGCAGGGACCGGAGCTGTGGGGACTCCTTGTGAATAGTGCCGCAATCACACAGTGCCAGGTATAGTGCACCGCAAACAAAAATCTCCTTTTCTTCTGGGATATAGTTCTTCCTGTCGGTTTGGTAACAGTTTCTCGAAGAAGTTCTCACCTTAAAAGCTAAATTCATACCATGCAGTAACACCTGAAAGTTGGTGATAATTTTCAGGATCTGCCTATAGTTTTTAACAGGTTTGATACCTGTAACTCGCTTGGACTTTCAGTACGGAACTGATGCCGGAATGCATCCAGCAACATTTATTGGGCTCTCACTCTGTGCTGGGCACCTCTGGTAGTCATACACGTGCTTGCTCTGGAAGGGCTCACAGTTTTAAGAAATCGGATCACTTCTCCTGATAGTCTCTGCAGTCATGGAGATTGGATTGATTATATGTGAACTTACCTGAATAAAAAGGAGTCCGCTCAGGTTCCCCAAATTTCTCCTTTTGAACCACAAGGGCTGTTTTTGTTTCCCAAATTATTTTGGTTCCCTTGGTCTGGCGCCGTCACCCTCTTCATCTCCTCTTCAACGAATTCAGTTCAATACATTTAAGTTCGAATGAAATCAAAGCATTGCACAGTCCATTCAAGTTGAGGAAGTCTGCCTGTTCTTATATTCCCATTCCCTCATTCTCTCTCCCCTCTTCTCTTCCTCTCTAGATCTTTGTGTCTATGTAGGTGTGGTGAGTGTCTTAGAGTAAGTCTCCCTATCTTTGCCTGTCTGGGGATGCCTATGTATGTTTGTGTGCCTATGTTTAGGGTGTGTCTTAAGTGGGTTTCAGTGGTGACAATGATCAGTGTGTATCTGAGGACCAGAGACACCCTCCTATATACTCATTTTTTTTTCTGTCCAGCACAGCAATTTCCCAAGCGTCTGATGACATAACTGCTGTTGAAAACTGTCCACTTAGGTAATGGTCTCAATTCTCTGTGTTGACACAATGTCTGAAGGCAGGAAAAACTGTCTGTACACAGCTTGGAACTTTGATGGAAGCTGACTGATTGCTAAAGTATGGCATGA